AACAACCAGCGAAATCTGAATCTGAATATCCAACTACCTCAAGATAATCAGATCTCTTATAGGTAAGCATATGATCCTTCGTCCCTTGTAAATATCTTAACACTTTCTTTGCAGCTCGCCAATGATCCATTCCAGGATTACTTTGATATCTACCCAGCAAACTGACCGCAAAACTAATGTCAGGTCTGGTACATGTCTGAGCATACATTAAACTTCCAACAACTGATGCATAAGGAATATGCTCCATTTGCTTACGTTCCAATTCAATTTGTGGACATTGCTTAAGGCTCAACTTATCACCTTTCTGAATTGGAACTGGACTAGCAGAGCACTTATCCATTTTGTGTCTCTCTAAAACTTTGTTGATACAAGCTTTTTGAGACAATCCCAACAATCCTTGTGATCTATCACGGATAATTTCAATTCCAATCACATAGGATGCCTCGCCCATATCCTTCATCTCAAAGTTCTTAGAGAGAAACTTCTTGGTTTCATACATCATGCCCAGATTATTAGTAGCAAGCAAAATATCATCGACATACAGGACTAGAATTACAAATGCGCTCCCACTGACCTTCAGATATATACACCGATCAACAGTGTTTTCCTTAAATCCAAAAGTAGTAATGGTATCATTGAACTTGAGGTACCACTGTCTAGAAGCTTGTTTTAATCCGTATATAGATTTCTTTAATTTACACACCATGTGTTCCTTCCCTTCAATTGGAAAACGATCAGGTTGTTCCATGTACACTTCTTCTTCTAAATCCCCATTTAGAAAGGCAGTTTTCACATCCATTTGATGGAAGCTCTAGATCATAATGAGCTATCATTGCCATAATAATTCTAAACGAGTCCTTTGAGGAAACTGGCGAAAAAGTCTCGCTATAATCAACACCGTCTTTCTGAGTAAAACCTTTGGCAACAAGTCTGGCCTTGTACCGTTCAATATTTGCCATTACAGTCGCGCTTGGCCTTAAAGACCCATTTACACCCGACTGTTTTACAACCTTTAGGCAATACTACAAGATCCCAAACTTCATTGTATTCCATTGATTTTAACTCTTCTTTCATGGCATCTAACCATTTTACAGAATTATCACTTTTAAGGGCTTGTGAAAACAAAACTGGATCTGCTTCCATTCCTAAGTCAATTTCAGACTCTTGTAAATAAACCATATAATCATTAGAAATGGCAGATCTCCTTTGTCTTTGAGATCTTCTTAATGCTATTTCTTGTGGTTCATTTACTACTTCATGTGGCTCACCAACCACAGGTTCATTGATTACTAAATTATCAGGTAGTGTTTGCTCAATTATTTGTTGTTCGTGATTGTTATCAGAACGTCTGACAACTATAGGAACCACAACCTCTGTAGAAGTCATAGGCATAGGGACCTGTACCCTGACTTCTTGAATATCCACTTTACGTGGTTCAAAACTCCCACTGGTTTTACCATTCTCAATAAACCTTGCATTTCCAGTCTCAACTATTCTCATACTATGGCTAGGACAGTAAAAACGATACCATTTAAATTTCTCTGGATAACCAATGAAAAAACCACTGGTTGTTCTTGAGTCCAGTTTCTTTTCATGTGGATTATAAATCTTGACTTCTGCTGGGCAACCCCAAACATGCAGGTGCCTCAAACTAGGTTTCCTTCCTATCCACAGTTCAAAAGGAGTCTTTGGAACTGCCTTACTAGGAACCCTATTTAATAAATATATAGCAGTCTTTAATGCATATATCCATAATGATGAGGGCAATGAGGAATGACTTAACATACTCCTAACCATATCCATTAACGTTCGATTACGCCTTTCTGCAACACCATTCTGTTGCGGTATCCCCGGCATTGTGTATTGGGCACATATGCCTCGACTTTCCAAGAATTTAGCAAATGGACCTGGACATTGTCCAGATTCATTGTATTTACCATAATATTCACCACCTCTATCTGATCGTACTACTTTCACCTTTCTATCTAATTGCCTCTCAACTTCATTAATGAATACCTCTAGGATATTAACAGATTGAGATTTTTCATGCAATAAATAGATATATACATAACGTGAAAAATCATCTATAAAAGTGATAAAATATCTTTCTCCACTAAAAGAAGGTAAAACAAAAGGACAACATATATAGATGTGTATTAATTCAAGGAGTTCTGTGCTTCTTGTGGCTGCTTTCTTAATTGTGGATGTGGTTTGTTTTCCTTTGATACAATCCACACAGATGCCAAGATCAGTACAGTCCAAATCAGGTAAAACTTCATCATTTACTAATCTTTGCATCCTTTCTCTTGATATATGGCCTAAAAACTTATGCCACAAATAAGCAGGTTTCTCATCCACAGAAGCACGTTTTGTTCCTATACTATGATGCAGGGTCAATAATGTCTCATCAAACAAATTATCAAGATGTAATTTGTACAATCCATCACAAAGCACACCAGAACCAATTAAACAATTATATTTAAATAAACTGAAACATCCATTCCTGAACTTAAAAGAATATCCTTCTAAATCAAGTTTAGATAAAGATATTAAATTACGGGATAACTCTGGTACATAAAGAGTATTAAACAAATCTAAATGATGTCCAGTATTTAAAATTAAACGATAGGTTCCAATGGCTTCAACTCGTGCTTTGACCCGATTCCCCATGTACACAAANTAGAAAAAGTCGTTAACTCTTATCCCGTCCATGTACTTTCTAGATTTGGTATATATGATAAAGAGTAAACTATTTAAAAGATCAAGTGATTGAATTAAATCTAAAGCATATAATTTTAATATGATAAATTGCCAATATAAGTTGGCAGGTAGGCAGGAATTTAGAATTAAAAGAAAATATTTTGGCAGCGAAAAGATTAATTGGAAAATACCATTATTCGAGATTTATTTAATTCCAATGATCAGATTATGATGAGTACTACATATGGGTTTGTATGGGCGAAGTATCTTTTGATGTAGAGAGAGGCCACATGTCTCCCCCACTTGTTGTGTGATGTGCAACGGCTGGGGGAAAAAAAAAGGTTTCCGCTCTTAAGAACCAATAGGTGAGGGCCACCTGTCATTCTTGAGACACTTCGTATTCCATTCACTTTGAGAGAGAGAACGAAAAACGTAGCAGTGGAGATTTTTGCCTTCTCTTCGTCGGTTATTCACGGTAATCTTTCGTTTTTTTTTCTTTGATTTTTTTATCTTTTCTTTGCTTATTTCTTTCTTCTTCTGGATTTTGTGCTGGTTTCTCGGACGATTCGACGTAATTTTAGGTTGATTTTGGTAGATCTTCGTTCTAAGTATTTTGGTTTCGGAATTTTAGGAGTGTTTTTGGTGGATCTTACATTCCTGATTTTCTTGAAAATACTTTCGCGCTTTTATATTTCCACTTCTTTACACTACTATCCGCTCTACTTCATTGCATTATTTTAGTATGATGAACCAATTCATACCGATTATCATCAAGTCAACTCGGAATTGGAGTATACCCGCTCTTTATGTTATTCTAACATTGGTCACTGTCAAAGTATTACATTCTCTGTATCGCTACACGCGTACAATGTCATCGTCTTCATCAACCTCAACTGTAACGTATGCTGGAATTCTCCAGCGAATGCGAATTCTCTCCAGCAAGCTCTACTTCGATGTTCCCCCTTCCAGGGTAACCTGACACTGAAATGTTTTTATAGATGAACTTATATGTGTTGTTAAATTTCATTTTGGACTGATAATTTTTCATGTTTAAACAATAGGTCCCACTGGTTTACTCACCCGATTATGATATTTCATTTCTTGGACTAGAGACTGTTGATATAAAAGGGTGAAAGTGCAACGTTGTTAAGTACTTCGATGTTTTTGATAATGGGTCAAATTGATGTCGTTTTAAGTAAAAGGTTTTGGTTCACTGTACTCTGTAACAGTGTTAGTATAAAAGAGCTGCTGCTCTTCCTCATTTGTATCGAATTTTCTATGAATTGAAAGAAAAACCATTTGCTCTCTAATTTTTGTCCAAGATTTCTGCATATGTCACATGGTATCAGAGCATTTTTGGATATCCTTGAGTGTATTTCTGATGGTTGATGACTGATAATCTGAGTTCTGACTGCAGAATAATTCTTTTGCAGCAACTGAGTAACTCTTTTGCAGCAGTCTGCAGTGTATTTCGGATATTCTTTAGTGCACTTCTGATGGTTGATGATTTTTTTTTTTTGTGCATTGGTACTGATTTTTCCAGCTATTGGCTAATGAGTTCTGAAGAATCAGAAACTGATAGTGAATGTTGCTGACTTTGTTGATGACTGAAACTGATGGCTGATGTGTTCTGATTATTGAAACTGATACTGAATGTTGCTGAAGTTNCTTTAACGGTTGACCGTTATCTTTAACCATTGACTGGTTTAGTCAACGGTCTGAACCGGTTTAACTCGTTGACCGATCCGGATCATCTTTTCGGATCCTAAACCGGACCAATATGGCCCATTTTTCTGGTTCGGGTCAACCTATTTTAACCTATTTGGGTTGACCTATTTGACCAAAAAATGATTGGGCTTCTTTATGGGTTATAGGTTGGGCTTCTTAATGGGTTCTAGGTCTGGCTTCTTAATGGGTTATAGCTTTGGGCTTCTTTATGGGTTATTTTTTTATTGGATTTGAAAAATGGGCTCACTTAATAAGGCTCTAATCATTGGGTTGAGTCAATATTTTATGGGTCAATTATTGACCGAATTTCTGGAAAAATTAGGTTAATTTCTTATTCTGAATTTCTGGAATTTTTTTTTTTTTATTGAAAACAAAAAACTTCTGGAGTCTGAAAATTTTCATTTCAGAATAATTTTCCAGCCTTCCAATTTGTTAAGTTCCAAACCCAAACTACCTTCTTAAATCTATTTTACCCAAAACCATTCATATTTTACAATTTCCAAAAAAAAAAAATTAATTAATTTCTACATCCATAAGAACCCTAAAAATAACTTAATGGAAAATTCATCAGTCTCAAAACGTGAAATTGCTCTGATACCACATGTAAACTTAATTGCAAACTCATCATAAGCAAAGAATCAATAATCAATTCATGTTTCTATGCCCTAATTTGCACAAATATAAAGTTTAAGATCTTGAAACTTGATGAACTTTCACATATATATAAATATAAAAGAAATACATACCTGATTCCATAGGTTGAAGATTAAAAACTTGAATCTTGATTGAATCAAAAAATAGGCAGTGTTTCTCTCCCTTCCTTCCTTTCTATAATTGCAAAACCTCTTTGATGGAAAGAGAAAAATTTTAACGTATCTTGGAATAGAGAGAGGACCCACCTTTTATATTGTGCAGTTATTTAATTAACTACAAACATCACACCTTTCCATCAAGGTTAAAGACCAATATGCCCTTTAATTAAATTAATTATTACTAAAACTTATATTATTTTTAATTCACATGGACCACTTTATAAGTATTATAAATAATTCTAACATTATTGCCTCGGAGGGACCAGAGTCCTTCAAGTTTATTTAACCTACAAGAAAGCGCTATACCGGCATTTTCGTTTCGATTTTCTGGTGAGGTACATCACTCTAAGAATCAATGTTGTCATTTTCCATTTTTGCCTATTTTTGCATCATACATGACTGTTCAATGGTGAGTGGTTATCTTTTAATGCAGGGGTGGATTGAGGAGGATAAATTGGACCAGTTCAATCTCCCCTGTTATGCACCTGCTGTTGAAGAAGTTAAGCAGATGATTAGAGCAAAAGGGTCTTTTAGCATCCGAAAATTTGAGATATTTACAGTGGATTGGGCTCCAAGTGCAAATATAGAAGATGGTAAAAAAGTCAGGTTTGATAATCAAGAGTCCCAAGCGAGCCGTCAAGCTACCTAGAAATAATTGTTCTGTGTGCTTTAGTTGTGATTGTGAGAGTACTTGTGGATAAAATCATAAAAAGAATTACCAGGACTCTGCAATGAACCCATTTCACACCAAGAAAATATATATGATTTTCTGTCTTGTAAAATACTTAACCTCTTGTTTGGACCTTTTCAATCTGCCATATTATGCACTAGCTGTTGAAGAAGTTAAGCAGATGATTAGAACAAAAGGGTCTTTTAGCATCCGAAAATTCAAGCTTTTTAACGTGGATTAGGATGCAAATGCGAATATAGATGGTAAGAAAGAGAAGATTGATAAACAAAAAAGAGGCAGCAGGTATGTTGCAATGAGCATAAGAGTAGTTGCAGAATCCGTCTTTAACACTCACTTTGGGGAGGAGGTGATTGATGATTTGTTCGAGAGGTTTGCCAAGAAGATAAGAGGAGCACTTGGAGGTGGAGTGGACAAAGGAGAATATACAAATATGGTCATTTCCTTTACTAAGACAATGCAATAAAATACAATTATAATCTAAAGGATAGCAGAAGTTAATTAATGGAAAAGGGTAATAATAATATTTAATCAGTTTATATTCATTATTTTTTAAACTCTTTCTTTTGGGGACAATATTAAGACCCACCACGCAAGAAAAAAGATCCCACTCTTTAAGTCATTTTGACAAAGTGCCAAGAGCAATGACCCAAAGGTCACTTTGATAACGGGATCCGATAACTAGAAAAATTTCCACAAAAAGTAACCTCACTCTCTAGATGTGAGGGTGGATTGCACTAATCAACCATTAACAACCGACATATAACACTTTGAATTGTGTAATCACACGCCATTTTAGAGTTTCAGTTTAAGAAGAACTCTAATTGGACTATGATACAGCCTTTCTTATTTTTCATTCACTTAATTTCACATAAATTTGTCTTCGACCTTCTCATTTGCTCTTTCAATGCCACCACGGTAACCCCGAAATAAAAAAAAAATAAAAAAAGCCAAACCACCAAACTGAAAAGAAACATGCTCTCCAGTACTACTACCACCCAGATGCCATCTATCAAGACTATAGTTTCTGTTGCCGCCTCAGCAGCTGCCGCGGCGATGGTTGTTCCGACACTTGCGCGTGACTATTTGCCTCACGAGGTACGAGATTACTTGTTTTTCAAAGTTAGAGATTTCATTGCACGCTTCTCTAATGAGTTTACTTTAGTCATTGAAGAATCTGATGATGGCTTTAACCTAAACGAACTCTTTAAAGCGGCAAAGTTTTATCTTGAATCGAAGATTCCCCCTCATGTGAGGAGAATCAAAATCAACCTGCCAAAAAAGGAAACCAAAATTTCACTCTCAATGGAAAAGAACGAAGACATTGTTGATAACTTTAATGGGGTTCATTTGACATGGAGATTTATATCAAAGCAAGCCCCATCAAAGGTTGTCCGTGACCCACACCATTACGGGCCTACGGTTCAAAATGAAGTCAAGTTTTTTGAGCTGAGTTTTCACAAGAAACATAAAGATATGATCTTGGAGAATTAAATTCAGTATGATATCACCTTAATGGTAGTTTTTATAACTGGGTGTATTTTAGTTCCTCTGTGAGTTTATTAAATCATAATAATATCTTACAAAGAATTTTACAAAGATTTCCATACAAAATGAGATGGCAAAAAATAAATGAAAGAGTGAAACAAAAAGTTAACTCATTTTATTTTGTAAGATCATTGTAGGTGTGCATTACTTTTATTTAAAATTAAACTTACCCATTTTTTTTTTTTTTTAAACAAAACACTAAACCATTTGACCGGAAGAAAAAATGAAATAAATCCTTTCTAAAACAAGCATGTCAATACTAGAGTTTGATTAAAACGTTTCTTTGTCCTGTTCACGAAACGTTATTTTATTAGAAAACCATTTTCAGCGGATTAATAACTTCTACAATTAAGCTAAAAAGAATGTGATTAGTTCTTTCTATATGATTTGCTTAAGGAATCAACACCATCCGACCTTAGCTCAGTTGGCAGAGCGGAGGACTGATTAGAGCAAGTTCAACAGCTATCCTTAGGTCGCTGGTTCGAATCCGGCAGGTCGGATATTTTTATTTTATTTTTTCCAATTTAATGTAATTCAATTAAAATTATTAAGTTGCATTTGGCCTTCCAAACAAATAATAAAATAAAAAAGAATAAAGCTAAATTTAGTGTTTTTTAATATGAATAATCAAAACCCTAAGGAGTGATCCTAGAGGTTAAGAAAGTTTGCTTTATTTTCTGATTCCTAAGTTTAGCCTTAGAGTATACTATTTAATAATATTGTAACTTACCTGATTTTTTTGGGTATAGAGTGTTCAATAGAGTTCAATGATTAGTTGAGGTATGCGTAAGCTGACTCAAAAAACCCGATTATCAAAAAAATTTTTTATAAATAATCAATCTAAAAAAAAAAAAAAAAAAAAAAAAGGAACAGCATATATAAGTAGGGGAATCCAAACACAAAACTAATAGAATCCAACTCAAAAAATAAGTAATGTCACATCATAATATAAATTTATAATTAAAGATGGTTCACGAATTTAGGAAGCTTGATTTAAAATTAAAAATTGAAAGGCGAATCCATGGCATCGTGTTACTTGAATCATCATTCCACTCCCAGGGGAGGGGGACAAAATTAAAATAATTATTTTAAGCGAATCAAATAATTAATAAATTAATTAGAGTTTCTTCTATGCCTTATCTCTTTCTCAAAAGGTCCTTAAAAGCAAGAAAGAAAGGAAAAAGTGGCATACCACCTTAAGCACAAAGCTTCTTATACTTTTAATTAACATAATAGTAATTTATAAACAACGTTGTGATTTTTATTTCAACGAATTAAGTTCCAGTTTTCCACTCGAAATCTTTGAAAATCTTAAATAATAGAAAAAATGGGTCCAAAAATCTAGGACCATTTGGGTTACAAGCACCCAACCCTATGGCCCAATCATTATTATGTATATATAATTTTTGGACATTCTTTTAACAGTCCTTTTTTAGGCATGCCCCTTTCTATTCTTCTAAGGTCACACTTATTAAAATTGAATCAATATAACACATGAAACTTAATCATAGTCCCGTAGTGGGCCCACATATGGGACTTACACGAACATTAATCACTTAAACCCAACTAAATAACGTTTAAAACTATCCATAACTAGTTGTACTCTCTACGATAGATCATACTATGAGACCTTCACATCAGACTTGAACCTCAAATTAGAATAAGATAATAAACATCAAGATGTGAGCTCCGATATGAGATTCCTAAAGTTAGCGTTTTAAAAATCCTTTACTGTTCTCAGAACCCGTGTTGAAGATTACGTACACATAGTTTTAACTATTCAATTAACTTATGATTACATGCCAAAACAATCACTTAAAAGGTAAGAAACTCTTAACTTTTTCAAGAGAAAAGAAAGAAACCGTTTACTGTCTTAATCACTTGAACTCTAATGGCTTTATAGATTTAACCTTTGCTATGAGCTGCCACCACATAAGCATTCTGATCCAAAGTCTAAAGTAAAAAACAAAAAAAAAAGCTTCATTTCAGCTTGAATTTTTGTGAAATGATGGATATCTGCAGCACTAGACCAACTGAAAGCCGATTAAAGGAAAAGGCAGATGTGTTTTCTGGGTTTAGGTGTCAGTTCTTAATCTGTAAGGAAAAAAAAAATGGGCCACTAGGGTCTCTGTTTTGACATTGGAAAACGCTTTTAAATACCATGTCTTTGTGCTGATTAAGAAAACTGATTTCTTGAAGATATATTCAACTAGTATCCCTCTAAAAGTAGATATTTTAGGAAAAAATAGTTAAAAATAATTATATAAAAGAAACGCATCCACTTCATTACTCGTGAGTGAGGTTCAGAGAATTTACGATCATCATGTATTGTTTTAATCATAGGGCGTAGATTTATCTCTTACTCATCTTCAAAATATGAACTTGAATGCGTTATACTCGACCCACTAGATATCATCTTCTAAATGAGTCAAGAGTATCGATTAGAAAATAATGTTAGAAAATTGAGAATTACACGGTGGATTACTGATAGATACACTAGACAGTTAAGTCACTAGAAAGGTGGTGCGAAACGATGTGGTACCCTCTGTGTTTCTAGATTTTTTTCATAGTCAATCAGTCTAGTTGAGTGATTTAAAAAAAAAAAAGGAAAAAAATAAAAAAAAAAATTCTTATAGAGTCAGGAATCATTCGATTGGAATTTGTGTTTCTTTAAGAAACTGCAAGTGGATATACTAATCAGTGGGTATCTTAAACAGTTTTCACCAGTATCTTAGGAATAAATTAGAGAGCATCCTAAATGGAATATGTAATCCATACAAAAAGTGTAGGTTTGGGATATGAAACGCACAAACGAACCTAATGTGAATGAATTAGATAGGTGAACTTACGTGAGCTAACAATCTTGGCCGGAAAAGTTGAGGGGTCACCCTTTTGAGATTATGGGTTTCTCTTTTTTTTTCACCAATGCTTGCAATTGCGTATCTCAATAATCTCTTGAAAACCCTGAAGTGAAGTAGTAATTTCTCCTCTCGATACCACCCTAATATAGGAAATCTAGTATATTAGAACAATCCAAGTAATCGAATATAAGAATTGTGTAACATAAATATCAAAGTCTTTAGTTTACCCGCTGGACTCTAATAGATAGTTTAGATTGATAGTATCTAAACATTTTTCTTTCATAATACCAAATAAAAGCAGAATTGGGAAACGCATTAAAGTAATGTAAAAAAAAGGCTTTGGGAGAGTGATCGAGAAGAAAGCATTTTGGCGCTGGGAAAGAAAAAAAAAACCCTCAACTGCGTGTTTCCATGGATAATAGAAAAACGCAGGAATTTGTTTTCAGTTTTTCGAGCTGAGAAAAGAAAAAGGAAAGAAAGGAAAAAGAAAATTGGAATAAAAGAAACAAGAAAAGCCTATATCTTTCTATTATAAAAACCATGCCAACCCATTGAACAGGCTACAAGGAAAAAACAAAACATTTTTAGCAGAAGAGCGTAAAGAGAGAAACAAGAAACACGAGCTCAAAAGCGCTCCTCTGTTCTCTCGTTTTTCGAAACCCTTCTTTATTCTGTTCCATGTACATAAATTCACTTGTTACATATGTTAGTAGATCTTTGTCTTTCTCTCTTTGGAGAACTTCTGCTGCTACTATAAGCTTTGTTACAAATCCAATTTCTTTTGATAGCTCGAGAAATCTTGAAACTTCATAGCCACAATGTCGCCTTACGTGACAGTGTGTTTCTCAGTCTTTGTGTTCAGATGGCTTCTTTTGAAATAAAAACATTAAACTTGGGAAAGCAAAATGGGGCTTACGAAGAAGCCCCAGTTCGAAAGATGCGAGCTTGTTCAGGGTGATCGGACGTATGTGTTCTTTTGGTGGTCCGGTGCAAGGATTTCGCCACCTCACCGCTTGCTGTTTAAGGACTTAACGGATGCTCCTTGTAGCACTCGCTTTGTTTCATAATGGAACTTAATAGTGGTCATTATCTGTTTGCAAAGTCAGGACAGTTTTAAGCTCAAAAGATTCTACAGAAAGAATCCCAGAAAGGATTACTTGAAGAGTTTGGAGAAGGGTGAAAAGATTCAGAACCACTCAACCGGTATGAGGTGAAGTACAGAGAAAAAACAGAGCATTTGTACAGAGAATCGTTAGGTAGTGAAGGCCACCATACTTCTTTCAAAAGCATAATAGTTACAGAAGAGCAATCAGAAGGTTAAGCGTGGTAATGAGTGATAAATCCTGCCGGGAAACTGAGGCGAAACAGTCACAGAGAAGTGCAGGAAAAGTACTAAATTCTGGGACAAATCGGCCAAAAATTGATACCAGAAGAGTAAATGAGAAGTGAAGAGTTCGGCGCACGATCGAAAGCTTTCCATGCAAGGCAGCAGAGGTTTCGCTGGAAGAGAGTACCTGTGATACATATAAATAAGCATAAACAAATCTTTTTTTTCCTTTTTCTTTTTTTGGGGGGGGTGGGGGAGGGATGGATCTTTATGGTTCTTCTTTTCCTGCTACATAGAAACTATGGTTTGTTGTACATGGCTTATGCTATATGTAATGGAAAATTCTAGTAAACAATCTCCCCTTTGTCTGTTATTCATCAAATTAATCTCTTGCAAAGGCTGGTTTCTAGGTGGAAGTGCTGAGAATCTGATCCGATCCTTATATGATGTCAAAAGCAAATAAGCAACCCTATTCTAAGAGGCATTCTAAGGAATTGATAGCACATATAAGAATCTGGATTTTGTTTTTTTCGCATGTTTCAGATTAGAGGAAAAATATGAGCATAATTAGTGAGGGAATATATTCTAAGTTCAATTCCACACAAGAAATATGTTGCTTTGGGACTTTGGAGCTAAATTCTATTGCGAGCTGTGTGCATGAAATTTCAAAACTCAGAAAGCGATTTAATATGTTCTGGTTGGTCTGGAGTTAGGCCTTTTCCAATCCAGAAACTGACATGATTTATCTCGAAAAGCAT